AATTTTCCAATCCACATTTGTTTCCAGAAAGGTTCCAAGTTGATGCACTTTTTTGATCTTCGGGACTATGCTGGTTGTTTTTGAGAATTTCTTCAAAAAGCTCTTATGCTTTGAGAAATTTGCATTGTTCAAACATTTACGTGCTTCCTTTCTTAATCTTTCAATAGTACTGTTGTCCTGCGCTAAAATATTTGAATTTATCGCATTGGGTAAATCAAGTGGGGATAAAGTGGAGTTGATGCCATAATCTCATGTGGATAAATATGTAAATTAACAAGGCTTAAAAAGTTGGATTATCTCTGATTAAATGTTCGTTAGTGGTAAATTGATATAAGCCTTCATTAGCGAGTTATTTTAATGTGTTGAGAATTAATTTTATCTCTGGGCGATTAGCAGGATTCGTATCCCAGCATTGTTTGTAAAGTTCAATATATTTTTGTTGAGTGCCTTCGATAGGCTCTTCTATTTTCCCTTGGAGTACAAATATAGGTGTATTAATTGGATCGAAGGATTCGAAAGGTGGTCTACCGCTTGAAATTTCCCATAGTATCATTTCCAAAACTATAAACGTCAGATTTCTTATCACGTTTGTATTTGGGTACAATAAAACATTGTGGTTCGATGTAAGCCAGCAATTGAGTTTGAAATCGTCATAAATGTCTCATTTATCTGTTTTGATAACCCAAAATCTGCAATTTTTGGTTGTTTTTTGATGAATTAAGACATTCTTCGAATGCTAAATTAGTATTAAAGCATTAATGGATTAAAATTCCCTATAAAAATCAATATAAAATCTAGCAATATGCAGTACTTACCAAGTCTCTATGAACAATATTTTTATCATGTAAGAATAAAAGTCCGAAAGCTATTTCTCTAGCAATGCATTGTTTATCTGTCCATTGTAAAAGATTAAATTCTGCTTTTAAGTATTCTCGTAAATTTCCTTCGTTCGCATATTGCAAACCACCCATTGTAATCTAGATATTGTAAATATAATAAACAATTTTAATATATTGTGATTAGTACCTAGAAATTTAGTATAAATACCTTTCGTGACTAGAGATGGGTTTCATGCGTGCGCATGATTCGGAATCATGCGCATTTTATCCCATCTAAATTTTATATAGGAAAATTAAAGTGTATTTAATTTAGGCCAAGGTGTATAATGCCAGGCAAAATTAAGAAATAGGAATGCGGAAGTTTTGAAAAATTCCGAAAAGAAAATGAATGAACATAAAGATGAGAAGGGTCGGGAAAAAATTTTGGCAAATATCCGATATTTTCCCGAGGGAAAATATAAAATCAAAAAAATTTATATCATGCGATATCATGCACATTTTATATAACATGCGCATGTTATTATAAAATGCGCATCTTTCCCATCTCTATTCGTGACTCCGTAGAAAGAAATAATGTTTGGATGATTACTAACACTTCTTAACAGTTTAAGCTAATCATATGAATTATAAGAATTTAATATGTATTTATTATATTAATGATTAAAGTCTTAATGTAATAAATAATACCTCATTAATAAAATTTTTTATAGTTTTTTCATCTAAACTTAAATTGGTATCGACTTTAAAATTCACAATCTTTCCACTCGCATTTAAATATTTTTCCAAAACCTCCAATACCAATCACTTTAGGATCTGTAAATTTATTATATTCGAGATAATTAATGTGTCTATCTGAAATAGCTTTTTCAAGCTATTCTTCTGGTATATTTGCCATGACTTTTCGCAAGACTAATTTCGTTCAAAGAATTATGAACGTGAATGGTAAATCATGCAAGATGCATATAATATACGTACTACGTTAGGGTGATAAATCAAATAAGTAATCAAAACTATGTCAGGCATATTAGTAATTTTACTATGATCAGATTTTTATCAGTAAAGTTAAAAATGATCGATCGAACGATTTTATATAATTTTAATTTTAACGGAAAGCGCAAACTTTTAAATGATTCACACAAATATTGTGCTTATTTTTCTAATTTCTTTCAATTGAAAACGTTGTGTCAGAACTACTTCAAAGTAACTATGTTTGATTTTTTCGCAACGTTCTAATTAAAATTTGAACTTGGTATTTAAGATAAATTTTTATGATAATTTTTTTGTGCCAATTAAACACTCTATAAAACAAATACCCAAACTTGCATATTAATAAAGAATCTTGAAACATAGCTTTATTCTTAGCCATTTAATAAACAAGTTGTGAAATCTTCAAGGTGGTTTGATGTCTTGGTAATAAGCTGAATCATTTGGATTAATAATAATGTATGACTTTCCTGTATTAATTAAATACGTATAATACTAATAAAAATTGATCATTGTGTAATATGAAAAATCTGTAATATACCGAATTCTATAGACCCCTGACATAGTTTTTCTTACTTAGTCGATTTTATCACCCTAGTACTACATGACACTTAATTTGATTTCACCACATCAGTGTTTCGGCCTAAACCGAAACCTCCGAGTCCTCCGAAATATAGTTTCGCCAGAAGTCCCAAAACCGAAACTTCCGAAACCTCCGAAATGGGCGAACCCTCCGAAACGGGCGAAACTTCAAATACTTCCGAAAAAATAGCCAATAAAATACGAAAATTTTCAGATCATGTGAAAAAACACATGCATAAATAAGTATAAAGCTACATCCGATACTAGGCGAAACTGGCCGAAACCTCCGAAATTGGGCGAAACTGGCCGAAACCTCTGAAATTGGGTGAAAATAAAATTCCGAAATATTCCGAGTAGAATATCAAAGAACGTAAAATACGAGCAAGAAAGGTCCGACGAAACTTTCCGAAAGACAGAGAGTTTGGAAGGATATTCAGAGGGTTTCGAAAGTTTCGGAGGTTTCGCCCATTCGGAAGTTTCGGCCATTTCGGAGGTTTCGGATTTTGGGTGAAACCGAAACTCCAGGGCCGAAACGTTTCGGACTTTGGGGGAGGTTTAGGCCGAAACACTGCACCACATATAATAGCCAGATCGTGGTACAGTACAAGAGCATGTAGTAGTTAAAAATCCGTTTATTGGTCAATCAAATTAAATAAAATTCCACAAATATAACATGTATAACATGTTGAAATATAACAATTATAACTTCGCTTTAAGTACTTATACATATGTTCAGAAATTTGACTACTATTAAGCTTGAATATTTATTTTTATTTATAATTTTAAGCTATGGTTACAATTAAAAGAATTTGGTTTAATTATTTATCAAGAATAACTTTTAACACCGACAATTTTTATATAAGCGATGGAATTAGACGAAGCGATTTAAATGTGGTTATGTGATTTTTTTTTTTTTTGTTGATTTGGTTTTTTTATTTTTCTAAATTATATAATAAATATTAATTTATTATATATACAGTATATCAAAATATAGTCAAATTTTACAGCGTCGCACGGCGTTCTCGCTTGCTCATGCACGAGGAAAATAAAAGAAAGATATATATGGTTAGTAATACAAATTTGATGACTTTAGTGCCATTCGAATCACCTCAACTAGAGAATTCAAATGGTATCAAAATCAATCATATTGAATCACTATATCACGAGATATTGCGATTTAAGTAATTGTCCTTTTGTACAAATTTGAAAGTCACTCACTTTGTACAAGTTTAAATGTCAAAAGGGATAATAGTAATTATTCAATTAACAAAAGCTGGATGAATGTCGGTAAACATACTGAGGAAAATGATTCAAATGGTCATCCAGTTATTGTGTAAATTGTGCTTACTGAAATGGTAACTATTTATTTCTGTTAGGAATGTTTATAACGCTATAAGAGCCCTTCTTGGGGAGTGTGTTTTAAGAGTATTGGATTTCAGCAACAGTTGCTCAGTCAAGACCAAGCTGGTATTAGGCGTAAAATGGCCATTTGGTCTTTTAATGGTATTGTTTCATCATCTGAAGGTGTTGTAAATACCGGAATACCTATTTATACCTGAATGAATATTATTACATTAATATTACTTTATCTACATTACTATATAAAATATCTTGGTTTTAAATGTAATATACAAAATTATCATGATGATAAGTAATCTTTAAATCCGACACAAGTTTAGCTTTAATAAAATTTTATAGACATTTAATTTTTATCAGATATGAGTGCCGCCAATGGAAAACCCCAATCGGCATATAAATGAAAGCCCAATTAGGGGTTTTCCCTTGGCGGCACTCATAAACTATTACTCTCTTCACTGTATAATGCAATAATCAATTAGATAAATCAGATAATAATAAACATTTATAATGAATTTTCTTTTTACATAATTCTTTTATTTATTTCTGCTTAATATAAAAAATATGTTTCACCATACACATAGAAATTTCCTTATGGTTAATCATAATTTTGGAGTTATAATCCTGATGACTAATTAATTCAATTATTATAAAATGCACCTATGGTGTTTAGCACCATATATAATTGTTCTTAGGGTTAGGGTGCATTTTTATGAATTTTTTTTTTTTTTATGTATTATGAAATATATTAGATATTAGGTTTTGATTTTAGTTTTGATGAGGTTTTCGGGGGTTCTGAACATTTTTACTTAGAATATCCGATCCAGTTTACTTAGTACGTTTTTGAGAAATAGGGACCTATGGTGTTAAACACCATAGGTGCATTTTAGTAAACCCGAATTAATTTTATAAATATCTAAACAGGAATACATGACATTTTATAATATGCCATTTATGTTGCATAGTAGCTTTATTAATATATCCATCGGGGCCACAGAAAATGAGACTTTATAGAGACGTTGCTGCTCAACCTTCCAATGCCTACTTCCTCAAAACATCACTTTCTAACTCATAATACTGATAATCTAATTTTCTAATAAACGAATTTCTGACAGCCTATTACGCTGATAAAGGTCTTCATAAGTTGCGTTTTTTCCGGTCAGACTATTTCGATTCCTCCACATGAAAATAAAATAAAAGTACTGTAGTCAACGGTGTTTTTAATGTTCGGATAATGGCAATTTCACATAAATGACTTATCTAAAAAAATTGTTATCAATTAAATTAGATTTCCGGAAAATGGGTTATCATTATTATTGATGGCAAAAAGGATTATCAATATTATTGCTTCGTGAAATTTTGGAAAAATGGGCTTGGGAATAGAGTTCCTATACATTATCCGTTTATCCATTTATCTATTGGATATCCAGATCTGAATTTATTCGGATATCCGTTTTACTATTGATATCCGGATACCAATAGTAAATGGATATCCGGATAAATTCAGATATGGATAAATGGATGACAGATTTATCCGGATTGGACCTCTACTTGGGAAAGTCCGTAGCTTTAATTGGGTTTGTTTTGTTACACTAAAATACAAATATGCATTCGACCTAACATGAAATTATTTAAAATTATGTTTTTGATACAACAATATAAATCTACTAATGAACTTATCAAAAACGCAATTTATTGTTGTAACTTTTGTATTACTCTGATGTACATTAAATGCCCTCAGCTACGCTCCAGACAATTAAAGTTTGCATTTATTTAGTGCGTTATTATTTTAATTCCTCTTTAAAATAATGGATTCAACCCAATTTTTAAATCTTGGTTACAATTATCAACTTGGTATTGGTGTTAAGAAAGACGAGAAGAAAGCTTTTGAATATTATATGAGAGCAGCTGAATTAGGAAATTCGCATGCGATGGTTGAGGTAAGTAATTGTTATAATGATGGAATTGGAGTAGAAAGAAATTATCAGAAAGCATTTGAATATAGTAAGAAATCTGCTGATTTGAATAGTTTTGAGGGAATATGTAACCTTGGTTCTTATTATAATGAGGGAAGAGGGGTTGATCAAGATTATAATAAAGCATTTGAATACTTTGAAAAAGCTGCTAATATGGGAGTTAAACTGGCAACTGGTAACGTTGCTCGATGTTATCGTAACGGTATTGGTACGAAGAGAGACATTCAGAAGGCAAATTATTGGTTCACTAAATATAAAAGTTTTTTGAAAACTAATAATAAATCACCAGATAATATCAATCCTGAACTTAAGAGAATATTAGACGATGAGAGATTTAAATTATTTTGGATTGATTATGATGAGTTCAGAGTTTTCACTGAATGGGGAAAGGGAGGATTCGCAACTGTATATTGGGCAAATTGGTTCGATAGAATTAATAATATGTCGTGGGATGTTGCACTTAAAGTAATTCATAATTCAAACAAAAATGAGCAAAAATTCATTCAAGAATTGAAAAATTATTGTGAAATTGGTTACAAGAATCCTTCGTTCTTGGAATGTATTGGAGCGTCAAGAAATAATCATGGTGATTATATAATTGTCATGAGGATTGCATTAAAAGGTTCGTTACGACAAAATCTTGTGCAAGTATCACAATTGGAATGGAAAGATAAATTGAACCTCTTGTACGGTATAGCATCAGATCTCGAGTCAATTCATTCGCAGGAGCTCGTTCACAGAGATTTACACAGCGGAAATATTTTACAGGACGATTTGCATAGCGCATATATTGCTGATCTTGGACTTTGTGGAAAAGTAAGGGAAGGAAAAATTTGTGGAATTCTGCCGTATATAGCACCAGAAGTGTTAGTGGGTCAAACATATACTCAAGCATCAGATATTTACAGCGTTGGAGTTATCGCGACAGAAATTTCAACCGGACAAAGAGCATTCGATGGAATTCCGTTTAATGGTGATCTTGTGTCAAGAATTATCAGTGGATCAAGACCTAAATGTATAGGACCAGATTGTTATGTTGAATTAGCTATGAAATGTATGGATAGAGAAGTTGATAAACGGCCTACTGCAACAGAAATTATTGAAATAATCACTCAATGGCTAAATCAAATGGATCAGGATGGCGATAATGAAATCAAAAAACAAATTTTAGAAGCCAATAAGATTAAACCAGAACCAATTAAGCAAATTCATTCACAAGACGTGTACATTAGTAAGATTTATGATACAAATTTCCGAATATATCAGTAGATCGATGAGTACAGTCGAAATCTCAAACAAATTCTCAAATTTATATTTAAGTTAAAATATATAAAATGTGTAGTTATGTATGTAACATGCACTTAAGAAGGCACGTCTATAGCAATTTACTTAGTTATAAATATTTCTACAGTATCTAATCGTCATTATATTACTGAGATAAATATTTTCTTTATAAATTTTGTATTATTATTCTTATCATCTGTGTTTTGTAGTTTGTTTCTTAAGTGCTAAGAATCTTTAAAAACCTTTTTATTTTTATTTTTTTATTTTAGTTAATGTCTCAAAAGCCATCTTAAATATTTATCTTTTATAAAAATATAAAATTGAATCTAAAGAAGAATAGCAATATGCTAAACAAACTTAATAAAAAAATTTCATAGGAATTCCGTTTGAACTTTGTATCTAAATTGAATATTGGAATATATGATATCTACGTAATTAGTTATAGACCAAAAGTATGCTAAGATGTTCATTTTTTGAAAATTGCATCCGAATCCACCCTTAACAGTTACTAACCAATCTTAAAACGCCAGAGCATTTCAAGAAACGGTAAAAGTACTTGCTTCTATAGTTATTAGGCGAAACCTAGAGGTTATGCGTTAGCAAAAGTCGACACTTAGTTTTGGCCTTGCTAAAAGACGATGTTAAATGTCAGTTCTAAAAGGTTCAGTTGTTAATAAAATTTGCTAATGCATATGTAGATTTAAAAAATTTGTTGAAGTAAATCTGAACTGAACCTTATAATGTATATGAATATCATTAATACTATGTCATAATAAATTTTTGCATACCAAAAATGTGTACAAGGTTGCGCTCCAGATGTCAGTTCGGATGGCTACTAAGGAATTCAAAATTTCTCAATTAATTATGGGTTCTTCTAGACATCTCTAGCTAGTGATATATAGCTATATATCTCTGGCCTTTTAGCCAATTAAAATGCAAAAAAGTCTGTGACCTCTATATTTGACGATCGTAATAACGCCTGACAGGTCAACTACTTTCGTGTAACCTGGCATTATGATCTCTTGAATTGTCCCGACTACCGATTTACAGAAAAGAAAATAAAAATTTTTAAAACTGAGACTTTGAGCAAAAATATCCACACAACCACTTGACCAAATTCACTAATTTTTTTTTATTTAAATTCTATGGATACATAGAATTCAAATAAAAAATTTTCAGTGAATTTGGTCAAATGATTGTGAGAATACCTTTGCTCAAAGTTTGTGTAAATTCAAACTGTCTATTAAAATAGAAGCTGCATTTAAGTTTTTTAAAAAATTTTAAGTGAAAATATCTTCACAACCACATAACTAAATTCGCTTGAAATTTTTTATTTGAATTCTATGGATTCATAGAATTCAAATAAAAAATTTTTAGTGAATTTGGTCAATTGGTTGTGGGATACCTTCGTTCAAAGTTTAGTAAAGTCAAAACACCTATCAAAATAGAAGCTACACAAATTTTTTTAAAAACTTTAAGCGAAGATATCCCCACAACCACTTGACCAAATTTGCTAGAAATTTTTTATTTGAATTCTATATATTCATAGAATTCAAATAAAAAATTTTCAGCAAATTTGGTCAAGTAGTTGTAGGAATACCTTTATTCAAAGTTTGGGTAAAGTCAAAATGCCTATCAAAATAGAAGCTGTGCAAATTTTTTTAAAAACTTTGAAAACGGCCTCCCCACAACCACTTGGCCAAATTCACTAAAAAATTTTTATTTGAATTCTATAGATTCATAGAATTTAAATAATAATTTTTAGTGAATTTGGTCAAATGGTTGTGAAGATATTTTTGCTCAAAGTTTGAATAAAGTCAAAATGCCTATCAAAATAGAAGCTGTGCTTAATTTTTTTAAAATCTTTGAGCAAAGATATCTCTATAACCACTTGACCAAATTCGCTTAAATTTTTTTTATCTTAATTTTATGGATTCATAAAATTCAAATAAAAATTTTCTGCAAATTTGATCAAGTGGTTGTGGGATACTTTTGCTCAAAATTTGAGTAAAGTCAAAATGTCTATCAAAATAGAAGCTGTGCCAATTTCTTTTTAAAATTTGAGTAAAGATATCTCAAAAACCACTTGATCAAATTTGCTTAAAATTTTTTCATTTAAATTCTATGAATCTATAGAATTCAAATTAAAAAATTCTTATCAAATTTGGTAAGCTTGTTGTGATGATATCTTTGCTCAAATTTTTTAAAAAATCAGCAAAGCTTTTATTTTAATAAACATTATTTCAAAATCATGTCAATATATAGTTATAATATTGGTTCAAAATCATTTTTGTATTGTCATATACTAAAGCATATGAGGCATTTATTAAATATAATTTTATATTGAATTGTCACATAATACATTTTTGAACTACCTAACTCTAATTTACCAACTTACTCTAATCTACTAACTAACTAACCTAAACCCAAACTCTAACAACAACCAACTTACCCTAACTCTAACCAACCACCAAGAGAAAAAAGTCTATGACAAAATAGCTACCACAAATACAATACAAATAATAGCAATACATATAATAAGTAGCTATACAACATTGTTACGTTAAACTAGAAACAGACAAATATTAGCTTCATTAAGAGTTATTAGTTATAGTTTTGAATTCAAATAATAAATATTGAGTGTATAACCAAGTGTATTTATATAAGATACTACAATTTGAACAAAAAATTTCATGATTTTTAGATGCATTTAGTATAGAGTATAAAATATATCTTTAAAAAACATGATATAACAATCTACTACAATTTTTTTATACTAATCTTAATAATATATAATGCCAGAACAGATATTATAAATAGGATATTTCATATCCTATACTGTACAAATCTGTTCATAACAATCTATATAATTTATAAATAGGAACCTCTACAGTAAAAGGTAGCAATGTGCCAAAAATTTTTATTTTGCAAATTGTATGCCTATTATTCTAATTCTTCAAGAAATTGCATTTTTTAAAAAAAAATTTTTTTGGCTCATTGCCACGGAGGTTCCCAAATGTTCTTGGCAGATAATAATTATATAGATAAAAATCTAAATGATATATAAACAGCTTATATTAAATACTTAGACTAATAAAACTAATAAATAATTACTTAACTTAGACTAAAGATGCTTTTAATATAATTAAATAAATCTATTTCAATAAAGAAGACTTGGTTGGCTATGTATCTAAAAAGAAAAAAGAAATAGTAGCTAAAATAGACTAAAAGAATAAAAGCCACAAACTCTAAACCTGAATTTATATCTATTCTAACAAAGAAGATAAGCTATATATCTGGAGATAAAAAAGAGATAGCCAAAATAGACCTTCATTCTTATAAAGAAAACTTGGCTATGTATTTGGAGAAAAAAAAGAAGTAATAGCCAAAATAGACCAAAAAAATAAAAGCTACAGACTTCAAAATCAAATTTATATTTATTCTAATAAAGAAGATTGGCTATATACATAAAAAAAAAAAGAAGTAGTAGCCAAAATAGACCAAAAGAATAAAATCCACAAACTTCAAAACCAAATTTATATCTATTTTAACAAAGAGAAAAAAGAAGTAGTAACCAAAATAGACTAAAAGAATAAAAGCTACAAACTCCAAACCAAATTTATATCTATTTTAACAAAGAAGACTCAGCTATGTATCTGGAGAAAAAAAAGAAGTTGTAGCCAAAATAGACCAAAAGAATAAAAGCTACAAACTGCAAAACTAAATTTAAATCTATTCTAACAAAGATGATCGACTATGTATATAAAAAGAAAAAAGAAATGGTAGCTAAAATAAACCAAAAGAAAACTTCAAAATCAAATTTATATTCATTCTAATGAAGAAGTCTTGGCTATGTACATGGAAAGAAAAAAGAAGTAGCCAAAATAAACTAAAAGAATAAAAGCTACAAACTCCAAAACTAAATTTATATCCATTCTATAAAGAAGACTTGGCTATATACCTAAAAAAAAAAAGTAGTAGCCAAAATAGACCAAAAAAATAAAAGCCACAAGCTCCAAAACTGAATTTAAATCTATTTCAACAAAGATAATCAGCTACATATCTAAAGAGAAAAAAGAAGTAGTAGCCAAAATAGACCAAAATAATAAAAGCTACAAACTTAAAAATCAAATTTATATCTATTTCAATAAAGAAGACTTGGCTATGTATCTGAAAAAAAAAAAAGAAGTAGTAGCCAAAATAGACTGAAAGAATAAAAGTTACAACTCCAAGCCTAAATTTATATTCATTTTAACAAAGAAGACTTGGCTACATACCTGAAGAGAAAAATAAAGTGATAAACAAAATAGACCAAAAGAATAAAAGCCACAAACTCCAAACCCAAATTTATATCTATTTCAACAAAAAAGACTCAGTTACAAACCTGGAAAGAAAAAAGAAGTGGTAGCCAAAATAGACTAAAAGAATAAAAGTCACAAACTCCAAACCTAAATTTAAATCTATTCTAATGAAAAAAACTTGGCTATATATTTGGAGAGAAAAAGAAGTAATAGCCAAAATAAATAAAGGAATAAAAGCTACAAACTCTGAAATCAAATTTATATCTATTTTAATGAAGAAGATTAGCTATATATTTGAAGAAAAAAAAAAAATAGTAACCAAAATAGACTGAAAGAATAAAGCCACAAACTCTAAAACTTCATTTCAATAAAGAAAACTTGGCTATGTATCTGAAAAAAAAAGAAGTAATAGCCAAAATAGATCAAAAGAATAAAAGGCACAGACTTCAAACCCAAATTTATATCTATTTCAATAAAGAAGATTGGCTACATACCTGAAAAGAAAAAAGAAGTAGTAGCCAAAATAGACTAAAAGAATAAAAGCTACAAACTCCAAAACTTTATTTCAACAAAGAAGACTTGGCTACATACCTGAAAAAAAAAAAGAAGTAGTAGCCAAAATAGATCAAAAGAATAAAAGCTACAAACTTTAAACCCAAATTTATATCCATACCAATAAAGAAAATTGGCTATGTACCTGAAAAGAAAAAAGAAGTAGTAGCTAAAATAGACCAAAAAAAATAAAAGCTACAAACTCCAAATCCAAATTTATATTTATTCTAATAAAGAAGACTTGGCTATATTCCTAGAGAGAAAAAAGAAGTGGTAGCCAAAATAGCCACAAACTCCAAACCTGAATTTATATCTATTCTAACAGAAAAGATTAGCTATATACTTGAAGAGAAAAAAGAAGTAGTAGCCAAAACAAACTGAAAAAATAAAAGCCACAAACTCCAAAACCAAATTTATATCTATTCCAATAAAAAAAACTTAGCTATATATCTAGAGAGAAAAAAGAAGCAGTAACCAAAATAGACTAAAAGAATAAAAGCTACAAGCTCCAAAACTGAATTTAAATTATTCTAATAAAAAAAACTTGGCTACATATCTGGAAAGAAAAAAGAAGTGGTAGCCAAAATAGACAAATGAATAAAAGCTATAAATTCTGAAACTGAATTTATATTTATTTCAATAAAGAATACCTAAAGAGAAAAAAAAAATAATAGCCAAAATAAATTAAAAGAATAAAAGCACAAACTCCAAAACTAAATTTATATCTATTCCAAAGAAGAAGATTAGCTATATATTTAAAGTGAAAAAAGAAGGGATAGCCAAAATAAAATGAAAGAATAAAAGCTACAAACTCCAAAACAGAATTTATATCCATTCCATGAAGAAAACTTGGCTATGTACCTGGAAAGAAAAATGAAGTGGTAGCCAAAATAGACCAAAAAAATAAAAGCTACAAACTTCAAAACTGAATTTATATCTATTCAAATGAAGAAGACTTGGCTATGTATCTAGAAAAAAAAAGAAGCAGTAGCCAAAATAGACCAAAAAAATAAAAGCTACAAACTTCAAATCTTAATTTATATCCATTCCAATGAAGAAGATCGACTATATACCTGAAGAGATAAAAGAAGTTGTAGCCAAAATAGACTAAAAGAATAAAAGCTACAAACTCCAAAACTAAATTTATATCCATTCCAATGAAGAAAATCAGCTACATATCTGAAGTGAAAAAAGAAGTGGTAGCCAAAATAAACCAAAAGAATAAAAGTTACAAACTCCAAAACTGAATTTATATTCATTTCAATAAAGAAGATTGCTATGTATCTGAAGTGAAAAAAGAAGTAGTAGCCAAAATAAAATGAAAGAATAAAAGCCACAAACTCCAAACCCGAATTCATATCCATTTTATAAAGAAAACTCAGCTATGTAGCCAAAATAGACCAAAAGAATAAAAGCTACAAACTTCAAATCTGAATTTATATCCATTCCAATGAAGAAGGTTGATTATATATCTGAAGTAATAAAAGAAGTGGTAGCTAAAATAGACTAAAAGAATAAAAGCCACAAAGAAGATCAGCTATGTATCTGAAGTGAAAAAAGAAGTGGTAGCCAAAATAGACCAAAAGAATAAAAGTCACAAACTCCAAAACTGAATTTATATTTATTCTATGAAGAATACTTAGCTACATACCTAAAAAGAAAAAAAAAAGCATTATCTAGTACAAATTAAAAAAAGACTAAAACAAAGCCATGAACTTTGATGAAATTTGCACTAATACTAACAAAAAATAAGAGTTAGTCAAGTGCAATCAAAAAAAACAAAAGACAATAAATATATGAAATTTATATTGATTATAACTTTAATAGCAATAGCTTAAATAGATAATACACCTTAAAGAAAAAAAAAACAAAAATTATATATTGTGCATATTAGGCTATATAAAATTAATTTTTTGGTTTTCATAACATAAAAAAAAAACCCCAATAGGTCTAGTGTTGGTACATTGTCATTTAAAATAAATGATAGCATATCATATGACAAGTCATTTTTGTCATAAAAAAAATAAATTATTTTTTATAACCACATGTTATTTATATATAGTTTTTATTAACCAATAAAAATCAATAAATACTAGAACTGGGTAATATATATTACAAATTCTTAATGATATGCATTTGCAAAATCTCAAGCAATACATTAAATATGAAATTTTGCATTTAAACTTTACAATATTATGAGATTATAATGATACATTTTTTATTTCTTTAATGTTACAGGTTTTTGTCTAAATTAAAGTGAATGCCAATTATTTATATATTATTATGAATTCAGATAAAATAAATATTAGGTATAAAATTAGATACAGTATTACTATATTGATATGAGACACTAATTTGAACAAAAAAAAAATTTTATGATTTTTAGATGTATATATGTAGTATTTACATGATATTTTTTTATTTAATCAATTGATCAATCAATATATTAATTAATTTCTCATTTAATCAATTGATCAATCAATATATTAATTAATTTCTCATTTAAATTTTTATTCATATTGATTTAAAGTTCTCTCAAGTATATAATTAATAGATCAAAATTAGCAACTCTTTCTGACGATTACTTGGTTCAAATTTTTCTGAAAAAACTACTCAACAAAAATAGTAAAAACTGACCTCTCGGCTTATAAGTCGAAGAAAGAAGGAACCGTAAGACAGTAACTGTTGTTTAGAGATAGTTCTCATATGCTACCTGCTAACAGTTTCAGAGTTTATCACTTACTGCAAACCTGGTGCTTGTCATTTAGAGGTAGTTCTCATATGCTACCTGCCAACAAGTTCAGAGTTTATCACTTACCGACAAAATTCGTGTAGTGCACTGTCTGGAGGAAAGCTGTCTTTGTTGTTTTTAGTAACTCACTCTTTTTAAGTGGTATCAAGAAACTCTCTCTCGTTTTTATCTTTTGCCATTCTCACCAAAATTTTTGACAAAAAGTGGGCTTTTTGGCTTATTCCCTCCAAAGGATCAGCTTTGTTTACACCTACCAAATCAGGATAAACTCAGTAGAAGGCAACCACACGTTTTGTTGTTTTGCGAATATGGTACTACAGTATAGGAAAGAGATCTACACCCCCATTTAGGAGATACCCAAGTCAAGTCAGTGTCTGAAACAAGTTTCAAAGCTAAACTGAAAGTTTACAATCGAGATATAGTAATTAGTTGCAATTATTATATAATTTTTACTCTTATGCCTGGCACAGGCTATAATAGTATGTCATGGCTACCTTTCTTTTTTTTCACTTTTTTTATCTTTGTTCATTTATATTAGACTATTTTAGAATTTGTTAAAAAGTTTTTTTTTTCCACTATGAGGTGTTTTTTTTTCTAAAATGTTTATGTCTTTCATAAACATGGCTTTATTTTTTTTTTACTTTTATGTATGAGTAAGGGTTTTAAGTATGTTGTTGGGCTTAGGTAGAAGAAGTCTGAAAGAAGGGAGAGGTGGTCATGATGGGTGACAAGGTCCACTGTTGAGATCCGGGTTATATCCAATTGCAGGAGGGGTCTGGATGGAGGAAAATCTTGCTATAGCAGGTCGAACATAGGTGCCAAGTTGGTAACCGAGTTAGTCTTAACTTGTAATTTAGGTAACAATGTAGGCTATGGCGCTTGTCGTTTAGAAATAGTTCTCATACGCTATCTGCTAACAAGTTTAGAGTTTATTATTTACCTTTCAAAATGCCTAGTTGTAAAATTTTACATATTCTAGAGGAATTATACAAAGCCTAATAAAGCTAAGGCATGACTGCCGAATTTATAAATAAAAAAAAATTAATAAATCAAAATTCAATTTCTAATTTGTAGAAAGTAGTTTAGTTGTTAAGTAGATTTATTATCTTAATGAAAAAAAAGTTTGAACCTACTTTTATTTGTCGTAGACTTGTTCTGGTTGGCTAAAATTTATTATTCACATTTTGTGATATGAATTTTTAGCAAAATTATATAGTAAGGATTGCTTTAATTAATTGTAGTACATTATACATGATCTCAGTAGCTAGCTAATTAAGTTTGTATAATTATTATATTTCTAATTATGCAGATTAGTATAACTAGATCTGTATAGTATGGGTATGAAATACCCTATTTAATATCTATTACAGCATTATGTATTATAAGAGTTAGTATTAGAAAATTATAGTGGATTGGTATGATATGTTTTTTAAAGAGGTATTTTACACTCTATATCAGAGTTTTGTAGACTAATTTTAGACTATTAAAGATTTTTTAGAGATATTAATGCTTGTATGTACTATATTGCCTTAAAATCATTATTACTGTAGCTACATAATATTAATACAATGTAATGCTACTGCATACTGTATTAGTACAATAATCTACCACAGTTTGAGTCATGGCTCAAGTCATACTCTAGCCATAACACAAGTCATAGCTTCAATAACTATGGCTTAATCTGAAGCTATTACTTTAAAAGCCTATTCAGTTGCAGTTAAAACCAACCTTGGAATAAACCATTAATAGCTCTGAAGACTATCCAAAGATAGTTAACAGTAAATCTGTATTTGGTTAGTTCAATTCCAAAGAACAATAATAAAAAAAATATTGATCGTCATTCACTTTAGTTAAAACAAAAACTTGTTAAAGCAATAAAAATACAAGTTGAACATTTGTTATGGTTAAACAAATCTCATATTATATATATAAATATAGTGCCAAGTAATGCAATATTGTGAAGTTTAAGTGCAGAATTTTATATTCTATTGCATTCAACACATTGTCCAATTAGCAGGACACACATCACTAAAAATGCTATAGTAAACCATATACTTTGTGATATTACATATCACTCTATTCCTGGTATAAACTTGTTGGTGAATTAATTATTAATAAAATAAACTTGTTTGTACTACTAATTTTTTACTTATCTATTGCACTAACTACTTAAACATCAAGTCAGATAATAATAAACCTTTGTTATTTATAATGTTATTTATAAAAATAATTTTAATGATTTGTCATTTTGCCAAGACTTAATACAATTTTTTTTAGGAAAAAGATATTGTTATTTTAAAATAACATGTTATTTATGATCATTTTCATAAAAATTTTTATAACCTTGTCATTGCCAACACTAAATAGGTCAGATTTTTATTTAAAATTATAAATTATAAATTTTAATTTTAAAAAATAATAACCTGGCATTATAGTATTAAATAAAGTAATGATTTGTTTATTTAAACTTAATTTAAAAAATTTTATATATAAAAAATTTTAAATTTTATAAAATTTTTAAAATTTTTTTTTGAAATTTCACTAGCTATTAAACCATATAAAAAAATTTTTTTAAAAAATTTTCAAAATATAATCTGGCCAGGTTATGAGAACTAAAAAAATTAAGTTTGTATAGCCTTAAATAATCTGATTAAAGTTGATTATGCATGCTATGTATATTCAGACTATATTTGAGCATTCAGGCTAGTATTAATGGTCAGATTAGTGCATAATTACTAATTACATAACTTTGTAAGTTTTAATTGGCTAATAAGCCAGAGATATCTAAGCTATATATCTCTAGCTAGAGATGTCTAGAATTTTCCATTAATTATCAATTATTAATAGATTTTTTTTTTTTAACAATTCAGCAGTCATGCCTTTGCTTTATTAGGCTTTGTAATAATTATCTAGACTATTAAAATTTTAGAGAGACTTGTCGGTGAGTGATAAACTCTGAACATGCCAGCAGTTAGCATATGAGAACTATCTCTAAATGACATGCGCCGTGCCCAAGGGCCACACAACTATACCTAAATTACAAGTAAAGACTAACCCGGTTGCTCAATGAGTATCTATGTTCAACCTGCTATAGTAGGATTTTCCTCCTCTGGACCTCTCCTGCAATTGGATATGACCCGGCTCTCAACAGATGGTACCTACCGCCCGTCATGACCACCTCTCTCTTCTTTCAGACTTCTTCTACCTAAGCTCGACAACAAAATTAAAACTCTTATTCATACATAAAAGTAAAAAAAATAATGCATGTTTATGAGAGACATAAACATTTTAGAAAAAAAACACCTCACAGTGGGAAAAAAAACTTTCAACAAATTCTAAAATAGTCTAATATAAATGAACCAAGATGAAAAAAGTAAAAAAAAAGAAAGGTAGCCATGATACACTATTATAGCCCATGCCAGGCATAAGGATAAAAATTATATAATAATTGCAACTAATTAATATATCTCGATTGTAAGACATCGCCTTATCATAGAGGCATTTACTAATTTCTCCCACAGTTCTGATTGGGCATCTGAAATCTCATTGCTTATTGGCCAATATTGATCATGCGATTACTATACTATGCCGATCTACATTATGCGTTGCAGA